AGTGGAATATGCAGTCTAACATACTCACCACGAAAGCCGCACCAAATCTGCATGAATTACCCTCTCTGAAAACGCATCTCCATCGCCTGTAAAACTCAACCAGCCTCATCTGCCATACCCTTTCAGTCATTCAACTCCATTTAACCGCGATTACTGGCTGTCAAATCAATCAAGTATTATAGCAAATGTCCCTGGAAACTCTGTGTTGTGGGCATTTCAGCGTGGTAAGAGTTCTACCTCAAAGTCGAGTTGTAAACAACCTGGATCCGGCCGGGATTAAAATCTCCTCTGGTGACTTCCTATTACTGTACATAAATACCATCTACATCTGTGCAAATCCTAGCCCCATGGGGGATCGTCTAAATAATAAAATTAGCTACACATTGAGTCTTAGATAGTAACGGATTTTATTTTACTGTTCTGTTATAATAATCCTGTGAAGTTGAACTCTTCCGAACCATCTATTATAATTGACTGCTGTCTCTTTCCATGCGTATATATAATTATATACCTTTATGTAAAATTTTTTCGTCCCTTTTCATATTGCTCCTTCGTTTCTACATGTTTATATCTAAAATCTAGTAGGCAGATTACAAATTTCTGACTTCTTTCCGTTTTTATTGTACATCTATATTTTTCAAATGTTGTTAAAGACGACACACGAAAAATGAATGACTGAAAATAGTTGTTCACACCATGAGTTTCGTTGAGTTAGCTAGTGAATGCGGAAACAGTCTTTGTGACACCTAGCAATAAAAAACATATATCTTAAAGTCAAACAAGTATTTCACCAGGACCAGTTGGGAGGGTGATAACCGCTATCCAGCGGATATGATGGTGCAGAGTTTAGACAACCACCCTCATCTGTGAGTAAGCGCTCTAGTGCTAAGGCTCCCGAGTTTAGATAACTTTAATAGAAAGAAAAAGAAAAGCTGCCTGCATACCACAGCTTGCTTATAAACTCTCTGAAAACAAGCTCATGGTATGATTTCTCTACTTCAGATGGACATCTAACTGTATATATTAGAACAACAACATAGATAAATATTATCATACTTTTGCTTTTCTTCTACATATTTTATGTACTTAGGCGTTTGGATATTACTTCTTCAATATCTATTTCCAATGGAACAACCTTCATCATGAAATATGTTTATCACCGCAAAGTCGATCCCTTGAATCTACTAATACAAAATTAATGCTGTACTTACTCTCTACTGTGGAGTTTTATAAATTTTCAAACTCTTATTAATTGACCGAATGATAGGGATGGTAAGCGGTGCACCTTGTGTGTCTTACTCTAGCGCCTATGTATCACCTCTCTTCTTAGCTTCCATTAACGCAAACTTTCGTAATTCCCACATGAAGTTGATTGACTACGAGTATATTAAAGATTAAAATCTCGGCTTAAACTAATATCTTGCAACTTATTCGATTAAAAGTAAACATTACAAACTTCTAATAAAGTTTCTAGAGTCTTGTTTTCCACTTTTCCAATTTTTAATGTCATAAAACAGTGTTCCATTTCAAATTGCACTTGTCAAATATGATCATGCCTGTACAAACGGTATGTCAATCATGTAAATGCTCAACTTATGTGAATAAAATATTATCATTAATCTCCGCAAAGATACATTTGGCCGAAAGTAAAACGGGACGTGGGGAAATGGGAAACAAGAGTATACCATGTCATAAGGAGAAAGTTAACAGACACATGGTATCCCTTCTGGGATGATTCCATCAACCTGATGCCCGTCTCTCTCATGTTCTCGTGAATTTGGTAGCTCCCTGACTATACTCTAATGCACTCAATTTCCTGTTCACATGCATTTGCAGGTCCTCTGGTTACTTAGTGGCCATGCAACTTGCTGATATCGCTGCTGAAACTGTGTCAAAAACCTTCCTACAACACTGCATAGCCACATTCGCCGATTTTACCTCGAGTTATGTAATAATTTTCAAATATTGATTTCTTCAGTGTGCTAGAAACCAACAACTCCCCCGTAGAGTGTAATTCTGTTCACGTATATGAACTAACAAGATTATTTAGTAGGATAGGAAAAGTCACGCTTGATAGAATTCAATCACCATGGAATAGAAGAAGAATCTAGTCTCTATAAAGTTCATTGCAAATCCAGGTTAATTATCCGCAGTAAGAAGAATGATGCCACCTCTTCCAGAAACCGTTTGTAACTTGCTGAAGATGCTTCTATTTTCTGGAATACCTTCTCAATTTCCAGTAATACTGATCAAATTTCTGCAATCGTGGGTTGCCAATGATCTCTTTTATCATTAGGTGTCTTGCATCTACCTCATTATGATAACAATATATTTATTCCTATCTCAGACGAGCATACCAATTGTACAGGCATGGATAAGTACTGTTTAAATTACATAAATTTGATCTGTGGTTAAATTACATGGTCGCTGTTCTTTTCGACTTTCGTTTGTGGGAAAAATCTGCTAACTAGTCATTCAACGGAGCACATCAAGAAATATAGAAATAATGTCTTCGCATCAACAAAAACTGAAGTGTATATTAAAAGGATTACATGTACTTGGGAAAAAACAAATCTTGAAGTCATTTCCCCCGTTTAACTTTGCTATGTACAGCATCGAATCTTATTCTTGATTTATATCCAAATTAGGTATTAATTCAAAACAAGTGATATATTTGCATAATTTTGTAAGCAGTTTTATGGTCAGTAAAACCAGAAGTGAATTGCATTTGATGAAGACTGATACCGGTCATCGCCATGGAGATCTGTAGAGTGAAACAGTCAGTGAAGAGAGCGTTTGAAACTTATAACCGAGGTGCAGGTTCTGATTTCTAGGGGCAAACTGTTCCGTATTTTAGAATACAAGACTGTGAAGACGATTTCGCAGAGTGATGATTTAAAGGTCTTTATTGCCACTGTTCAAGTTTGGTTAGCAGATCGTAAGAGCCTTCCGGTGAGAATTGTGTGTCCTTATTGTTTGAGAATGATATTTTGTCATAGACTTCAAATTGAAGCATGCGCTGAAGATGTTGTCTAGTAGGACGACGAAAGCTTCGCAAATTAACTATCCAGCCTAGAGAAAACAACCACATCAAAATGTCAAAGTAGATGACAAGTATTAGGTGTCATCTGTCGGCACTACCAGTCACAGAATTGAAGAAGTCTAGGTGGCATGTTAAACATGATCTGGATCTTAGGAATCCATGGTGGTCCGGACTTACAATATTGCAGCTAAGCGTATGCTTGAGTATGTTATCTTCAACTAGTCTTTTCACAATTCTAGATGCTGTAGGTGTGATATTGATCGGCCTGTAGTTGTTGACCCCTGTTTTCGAGCCACATTTGTATTTAGGTGTAATAAATGCCGTTTTCTGTCTATCAGAGTAAGTTTGAGTTCCTGTGAACATTATGGATATTTTGAGCAGTAGTAAGGGAATGTGATGGTCACCATATTTATAGAAATACGATGATACACCGTAAGTGCCAAAATCTTTCGAGCTTATGAGAGTTCTAGTAGTTTGGTTAATGTTAGCATAAGTGAACCCAATGGTACTAATTCGTTTTGTTTTTGGTAAATAAGTAAGTTGAGACATATTAGTAGGGTGTATACCAAGTAATGGGAATGTAGGCTTAGAGTAGTTAGCTGAAACCTTTTTGCTGAATAATTCACACATGTCTGCAGGGTCAATGCACAGCCTACCTTTGTCTACGTGGAGAGAAATGCTGTGATTTTTGCAGTTCAGTCTCTTCTTTACGATTTTTGTGAGAGCATACACTCTAGCAGGACTGACTACTGTGGTGCGTTCTTCGTTTCTCATACGCAAATCTCGAGCTTGTGAGATGGTGCTAAGGGTGTTAAGTATTAAACCTGGTGTGCCAAAGTTGTGGTGTTTGAAGTAACTTGTTGAGAGTCTCTTCATTTTCGTACGATCCTTCCGTTTTATGAACAACTTTCTATTTGAGGAAACCTTTAGTGTTTAGAGTGGAATGACAGCATCTAAGCATGTGCTTGATTTATGGTAGAAGGTGTTCAGAGCTCTCGAGAGGTCATAAGTAGAGAAGTATTCGCCCCATTCGGAGGATCTTAGCATTGATTCTGCGAAGGCCCAGTTTGCCTTCCCATAGTTCCTATATATGAGCTGCATTGTTACTCAGTGGAAGTGGCAGAGCACACATCACTGTTTTGTGATCACTACCTGAAAACGTAGAACCCACTAAGATTGAGAGGGGATTTATTTCATGACAGAATATTAAGTCTAGTACACTGTCACCTCTCGCCTAGATTACTAGGTCACTAGTATTCTAGCCGGTCCCAAGCCCGGATAAAGAGGGAGGGTTGGGGCGTGGTGCTAGCAACTCCACCCCCAAAACTTAACCAAATTGCTACTAAAACTTCAACGCACAAATATATTCAAAATTCTACAAATACAAACAATGACCTTATTTTTCGCTGGAATCGGGGAAGTGAAATGACGCAGGCTGGTGAAAGCCTTCGGGAAGCCAGTCAGCCGATGTGCCTTCTTTCGATGAAAGCAAAAATAAGGATGGGGACGTGGAATGTTCGTACAATGTACGAAGCTGGGAAGGCTGCTTAGGTAGCCGCAGAAATGAGGAGATATAAAATAGAAGTGTTGGGAATCTGCGAGAGCAGATGGAACGGATGTGGAAGGAGCCAACTATCAACTGGAGAGACAATAATCTACTCCGGTCACCCAGAGGACAATCACGAGCACATCGAGGGAGTAGCCATCATGATGTCACCAACAGCGGCTAAAGCTCTCATGTAGTGGGAATCAATCTCCTCCAGGATAATGACAGCCAGGTTCAACTCAAAAGGAAAGAAGGTTACAATCATTCAGTGCTACGCGCCTACAAACGCCTCAGAACATGAGAAGAAGGAGGATTTCTACAGTCAACTACAAACAGTAATGGACAACGTCCCAAAGAGCGATATCAAAATCCTGATGGGCGACATGAATGCGAAACTGGGAGGAGACAATACACAATGTTCTTGGCCAATCACACTCAATGGAGTAACAGATTTTCTCCTTCCACTTGATTTATATACATGTACTTATCATTTTGAAGAGTTTTATGGTGCTGCTCATCAAGGCAGAAAAATGAGATGGGCACATAGTTATTCAACAGCAGAAATTCAATTACTTTTTACCGACAAAGCCTATCAGATTCAAGCTCCAGCTATTCATGCTGCTATTCTACTGTACTTCGATCATGTTGATTCAGATCGTATAACAGTGAAAGATTTACAATTAGGTTTACAATTAACAGTGTCTGGTGGTAGGAATACTACTACTACTGTTGGTAGTGGAAACAATCCTGCAACTCACCATGGGTCGTGAGGCACTCGGTGAAATGAACGAAAATGGCGAACTCTTCTCAGACTTCTGCGCCTTCAATGATTTGGTGATTGGTGGCAGTGTGTTCAAACACAGGGATATACACAAGGCAACATGGATTTCACCAGATGGACACACCAAAAACCAGATAGACTTCATTTCAATCTCAAGGAAGTGGAGACGGAGCCTACTGGACACAAGATCCAGGAGAGGAGCAGATGTGGGTTCAGACCACTATCTAGTACAAGGGACTTTCAAGGTGAAGCTAAAAGCCTCGAGGATACCTGGGGATAGGCCACAATGCAAGTTCAACACGCAAAAGCTGAAAGACACAACCACAAAGGACACTTTCCCTGCAACTGTCAGAGCAAAGCAGGAAACACTACGTGGCACCACTGAGGAATCATCCGTGGAAGACCATTGGAACTCTCTGAAGGTAATTTTCAACGAAACGTGCTCAACGGTTTTAGGAAGAAAGAAGAAACAAGACAAGGAATGGCTCTCAACAGACACTTGGAAGCTAATAGAGGAGAGGAGAAAGGTGAAAGAAAAAATGATTCAATGCAAAGATGGACAAGAGAAAGAGACGCTGAACTCAACTTACACAGCACTGGACAAAGAAGTGAAGAAGAGTGCCAGGAAGGACAAAAGACAATTCTACGACAACCTGGCTACTGAAGCTGAGAAGGCAGCAGGCAAAAGGGACCTGAGGACATTATATCAGATAACCAAGTCTCTATCCGGGAACAGATCAACACAAGTGAAACCTATAAAAGACAGCCAAGGGAACCCAATTACCAAAGAAGAAAGACAGATTAAACAATGGGCGGACCACTTCAAAGGACTCTTGAATCGACCACCACCTACAACCCGTCCAGTAATACCAACAACACCACGTACACAACTGCAAGTTGACACCAATCCTCCAACGAAAGCTGAAGTCATGAATGCAATCAAGCTTCTGAAAGCTGGAAAAGCAGCTGGACCAGATGGAATACCCCCGGAAGCACTGAAAGCGGACCCAGAAACGACAGCAGATATGCTGACTCCATTATTGCAAAAGATCTGGAAGGAGGGAAAAGTGCCTACTGACTGGAAGAAAGGTTATCTAGTGAAACTACCAAAGAAGGGCAACCTGGGACTCTGCAAGAACTGGCGAGGAATCATGCTCCTGTCGACGCCAAGTAAAATCCTGAGTCGCATCATCCTGGAGAGAATGAAGGACGCACTGGATACAGAACTCCGACCAGAACAAGCTGGATTCAGGAAAGGCAAATCATGTTCTGAGCAAATTGCAACTCTACGCATCATCATAGAACAAAGCATGGAATGGCAATCAAACCTCTACCTCAACTTTATAGACTTTGAGAAGGCCTTCGACAGCGTTGACCGCGAAGTAATTTGGAAACTACTCGAGTACTACGGCGTACCCCAAATATTCATCAACCTTATTCAACAACTGTACGACAACGGCACATGTCAAGTGATCCACAACGGAAAACTCAGCGAAGCGTTTGGAGTAAACACAGGAGTCAGACAAGGGTGCTTATTATCACCAATGATATTCCTAATTGCGGTGGACTGGATTATGCGTCAGACAGTGGGAAACGAGAAGACAGGGATATCCTGGACCGACGTGAAGAACCTAGAAGACCTGGATTTCGCGGATGATTTATGTCTGATGTCACACAAAATCGAAGACTTACAAGCAAAAACCGACAGACTGGTCGAAGAAGCAGCCAGAAGACAGGACTGCAGGTGAACATAGACAAGACGGAGGTCATGAAAATAACCAACCAACAACAGCAGCAACATCCAGTGCCAATCACCATCAACGGGAGGGATTTGAAAGAGGTTACTTCTTTCACTTATCTAGGGAGCATTGTCTCAACCACAGGAGGAACGAACGAGGATGTCAAATTGAGAATCGGGAAGGCGAGAAACACATTCATCAACCTGAAACCAATCTGGAAGTCTTCGTCACTCACCATCAACAACAAAATTCGAATTTTCAATACAAACGTGAAGTCAGTTTTGCTTTACGGATCAGAAACTTGGCGGGTCACCAAGAATATTTTCAACAGGTTGCAGACCTTTATCAACAACTGTCTTCGTTCTATACTGAAGATTAGATGGCCGGAAAGAATCACAAACAAGAAGCTATGGGAACAAACGAAACAGGAACCAATCGCCCAACAAATATGCAGGAGGAAGTGGAGATGGATTGGACACTCGCTGAGGAGGCCGTTGAGTGACATCGCGCGTCAGGCCAGTGCTCGAGTGGAACCCGAAAGGGAAGCGGCGAGTGGGACGTCCAAGGGTGACATGGAGGAGATCGTGTGAAGAGGAAGTGAAACAGTATGGAATAACATGGACGCAAGTGAAAAGTACAGCACAAGACAGAAGCAAGTGGAGACGTGCAGTTGAAGCCCTATGTTCCACTAGGAACCCAAGGGAACAATAAAATAATAATAATAACACTGTCACCTCTTGTAGGGATAGTGACAGTGTTTTACAGCCAAAAATGTCCAGTGTACCTAAGAGCTTGTCATATTTAGTTGAGCCTGTTAATAAATGCCAGTTGATTTCGGGTAGGTTGAAGTCTCCACATATGATCTCATGCTCGTGCGGAGGAGTGGATACTTGCCGCAGTGCACTAATGAGTTGAATCTCGTGACCAATAAAGGTGCCAAGTGCTCTGCAGATAAATCCTATTAGTAGTGTAGCGCTTTAGAGGTGTACGTTGACGCATAGGGTGTCGTGCATGTCACTGAGTTCCCTATTTTCTAGCTGTAATGCAGTAAGTGTGTTCAGGAAGTAAATAAGGCATTCTCCTCACTTACCACTGTTCCTGTCACATAGAAAGTGTGTGTACCCATCGATGCTTATCTCTTCGTCTGGTATATTGGAGTGACACCAGCACACAATAATAATAGTTTGGGTCCTATATACCAGTGTGTGCCCTGAGCATCGGTAGTTTGTTTAGGATAGATCTAGCATTAATAAGGATTAGGTAAATTTAAGGATTGAAGTAGTGTTTGAAGTAGTTGAACTCGTCAATCAGGCTCAAATGTGGATCGGCATCCACTGGTTCCGCGCAGCATAACAACCCTCTGTTACAATTAGTATGGGTACCATGTTCACCTATGTCTATTGAATTACCATCTATTTCTTTTAGTAAATAATGAGTTCTATTATTGGTTTCACTACAGGATAAGGTAGTTCTGGGCTTGGGTAGGAGTTTTATTTAGTCTACGTTTGTACAAGCACTGGACGTGATTAATAATTCCTTGTGCACTAGACTTTGACTGTTTTCTTCCTAATAGGGAGTCGGCGTTAGTGGTATGGGTTCAGAAGACTTGACATCCTCATCGAGTGCTTGGTCGGCGCTGGCAGGGAGGTGGCGGATGAAAAATCATTGGTACCTTTTGATGCCTATGACCTATCAATCTGCCTAATGTTTGGAGACATTCTATGTTCCTACGTGGGTTTCATTATATACATTGCTGCACCGTCACAGCACACTTGTGCCATATATTCTGTCAAAGTTTGTTTGTGTGTCATACTTTGAAGACCCAGAGTGGCTGGGGTCTGAGTATTTACACTTGCACCATTTTGCCTGGTGGTGTTGCTACACCATGTATTAGTGTGGGCATTAGTGTGGCCTAGCATATTATGCCGGCATGTTCTGTGGTTAGTGTCCGTGGACCACATGGCCTTATTTCTGCTCTTGATGTGGTTTTTAGTATAATTTTATATACTATTTACCTTACAGAGTGGATTCTTCTTAGGGGTTTAAAAATGTAGGGGATTTTTCGTTACGATTGGTGTATTTTGGCATGTTTTGTTACCGAATTCCATTTTAGCTCTCACGTTATGGCTAGGAGAGGATGTTGTCGACTTACGAGAGGCATTGATTTCTGTCTCAGGGCTATACAGACATATATCTGGATCCATGGTAGAGAGTGGAGAGGCTAATTTAGTTGAAGGGTTATTATACACTAGGCTTCCGGCTGGTGTCGTGTTCTACGGTTCTACTTTTGTGAGATCTGAGAGGGGGATGCTATGAGCTCCACGGTGTTAGCCGTGGGTTTATCTATTTCGGTGACTTGCAGTGTTTTGCTCTCCTTGTCATTAGGCTTAGTGAGGTGATTGTTAGCACGCCTTTCAATCACTGTCTTATCTGCTACTATTTTTATCTGTTTGTAGCTCGTGTCACGCGATGGGATACGTTCTGAATTGATGAAATTTTCAGCCTCAGACTGTTTCAAACTCAAGGCGTATAGGTTCAGCAGTAGTCGTGCTGACTCTTTTTCAGTCTGTGACACTATGTCTATGAGTTAGGCATTTTCGCCGCCCTAAGTAAGCTACTTTGGACCTTTTTCAACCCCTCATTATCTGGTAAATTGTAGACCATCACACTCAGTTTAGTATCTGGTCTTTTGATAACCTCTGTTGTGGCGAAGTTCATCAGGATATCTGCCTTGGTTACTGATTGTGTGCCAAGTTCGCCGGGGTTTATGGTTTTGATCAGGATGCTCGGAGGTGTAAGTTCACAGACCTGCGATTTTATGCCATTATTCTGTGTTGATAATTCAGATATGCTGGTCGAATTTCCTGAACATCCTGCATTCATCTCCATACTACACCTTATATCCTGCATCTCAGTCCTCAGGTCCTTCACAGACAGCTTTAGTCATACCATTTCTGAAGTAGGTGTTGAATCTGGAATTGGTATCTGAAAGTTTGTGACACGTAAATAAGGTGAAATGAGGAGGTCTATTTCAGGGTCAAGTGCTGAGTTTGTAGAAGCGATGCTACTACTAGTTGTCAGCATATATTTGCTGTCAGTTCCCGCCACGGTAGACAGTAGTGACACGGCAGCTCGACGCTTGCAGCGCAATGACAAGCTATCTGACTTACCTCCATATTTTGTGAGAGTTACACTGCTAATTGTTGTAACCATATATGTGTTGTCAGTCATCAGGTTGAAAGGTGACTGA